TATAAAGCTGCTCTAAAACAATAACAGTTATACACAGGCCGGTTATCTATTGACAATAAGGAAGAATCGTTGTAAAGACGGTCATATTCTGAATGGAACTAAAAAAAAATAGAAATGTGCACAGGACGAATCACAGTCATGCATTTTTTTCTATTTAAAATCAGATTAACTCTGTGTTTATTGATATATCGAATTCCACCCAATTATTGTTAATTATATAAAGGCGCGGAAAAAAAAATCATTTAAATGTACATTGGTCATGATCGAGTGAACAATTTTACTACGTTTTCACAGTAAACAAAACCGACTGCACCTTACATTATTATAGTCATGATAAAAGACGTTAAATTTTGAGGGGAAAAACTGTTGAGACTAAACACATATCAAAGCAGAAAATGTATATATCAGATTATTTTTCCAACTCATCATTTTATTAAGCATGAATTTACTTATACTATGGTGGCATATATCTGCCCCTACATACAAGATAAATAAATTTTAACATGCAACATATATAACTCAACAAAACACTTTATTATGTTGACTCTTCTAACAACTCTTCTAAGAAAATTTGGTTCAAATATTGGTTCACTCCCGTACTGTTACCATGCAAGATATGTATGTTGATATGCAACTTATTATCTTGCATATTTACATAAATGTCTCACATAAATTCACAGAAATAATCGGCATATTCACATAAATAACTATAACTGTTAATAGAATTCTCATGCATATGAACATAGATATCTAGAATGCAGATATAATATTCTTGCATGTTAACATAGTTATTTTGCATGTTAACATAATTATTTTGCATGTTAACATAATTATTATGCATGTTAACATAATTTATCTTGAATGTAGGAGGCAGGAATATGCTTTCTAATAAATTGTGCAAGTTTGTAAATCGTATGCAATTTTGAACATCGAAATTTGTTACTAAGATATTAATCTACTATCCATTCCATGCAATTTCTATGCAAACAAGTCCGTTTAACTATTATACTCTACTTTCTATGTGTTTATCAACTTATCTTCTAAAAATGGGATAATACAATCATTCTACGCTGAAAGTTTATATGAATATGACAAACAGACGCTTGTTATCAGGTGATGATGATGAGAACAAGGATGAAAATAATTCAATTGCTTCTTAAAGATTTAAAATGAACTGAAAATGATAGCAAAAATTCTCTAAAAAGAGGATGAACTAGGCAGATTTAAAGTAAAATTCTGACACTCTCTGACCATTCATAACATGTAGATTATACACTAGCAGGAACGTACGAAGGTCATTCAAAAGCTTCGTAGACTTTTGTCCTAACTTTTCTATTTAACGTCATATTATATCCAAATTTGGTATAAATATTTTAACAACAGATTCAAATAATTAAAAAAAAAACAATTGTAATGTATCTTCATATTTATCAATATTACAGAGGATTTAGTACAGCAAAAACGGTATCACGGAGCACAGTCAAAATTGAGTTATTTACTAGTTTTTACTTTAAAATATTGTCTAAAGAGTTTGGAACGTCATTGAACGTAGTGTATGCTTCACTGTTGCAGAATTAATAGAGTTACAAGGTAAATTAACTAGGCAGATTTAAAGTATATTTCTGACATTCTCTGACCATTCATGACATGTAGATAATACACGTAGCAGGATTGTCTGCAAAGAAACAGGTTAAAGTTAGAAATATTGTCTAAAGAGTTTGGAACGTCATTGAACGTGGTGTATGCTTCACTGTTGCAGAATAAGTAGAGTTACAAGGTAAATTAAAGAATTTGAAATTAACAATGACATTCTTATGCAATCTATATTTGTGTAATTGTTCGCAAACTAGGTGCTAAGTGTTATGGACATGTAATTTGAATGGAGAAGACGCTACAAACCGTGTTTAAAATAAAAAAAATGGTATAATTTTGACAAACTTCCTCAACGTTGTCTATGATGTTACAATGTTGGTTAACCGTGCTTCTGTGGTAACAAAACATGTTGGTTTAAATTTTGGCTAACATGAGTTCTATTTAATCTCACCTGAGTATCTTTGACCCTGCTGTTCCCCTTGTTATACTAACTGTGGCCCTGCCCTGTCCCATTGGCTACAATACTCACCTGAGTATCTTTGACGCTGCTGTTCCCCTTGTTATACTAACTGTGGCCCTGCCCTGTCCCATTGGCTACAACACTCACCTGAGTATCTTTGACCCTGCTGATCTTGTTATACTAACTGTGGCCCTGCCCTGTCCCATTGGCTACAACACTCACCTGAGTATCTTTGACCCTGCTGTTCCCCTTGTTATACTAACTGTGGCCCTGCCCTGTCCCATTGGCTACAACACTCACCTGAGTATCTTTGACCCTGCTGATCTTGTTATACTAACTGTGGCCCTGCCCTGTCCCATTGACTACAACACTCACCCGAGTATCTTTGACCCTGCTGATCTTGTTATACTAATTGTGGCCCCGCCCTGTCCCATTGGCTACAACACTCACCTGAGTATCTTTGACGCTGCTGTTCCCCTTGTTATACTAACTGTGGCCCTGCCCTGTCCCATTGGCTACAACACTCACCTGAGTATCTTTGACTCTGATGTTCCTGTTGTTATACTAATTGTGGCCCCGCCCTGTACCAGGCAGTTAACTCCTGTCTGTAAGTCTGAGACTAGTGAGAATTATGTCTGACTGACAACACCTTCCCCCCCTCCGATATTCAACCCCGGGGCTTATTTGTTATTTTTTTCACAATTTATATTTAGTCCACTTATTCAACATGTTTGCAATAGGAATAAATCGTCAAAACCCCAAAAAAATCGCTCTACAAAAAAATACCCCACTATACATCATGTACATTATAAGAGAGAAAGGTAAGCAACTTTGGTTTGTTTACGTTGTATCCCTACTGGTCTTTCTGGGTTTAAAAACATGTATTTATTTCATTTTCACCTAAAGTGTCGGTCCACAATGTCTCTACATATATTTCTGTCTCAGTCCGTGCTATAGAATTGACTCTGGTAAGAATCCCACAAACAGCATTCCAGTTAGAATGTTGACATTTCCTTAGGTAAAGTCTAAGGCCCCAGTCTGACATGGTGTGTCACTGTACTAAGAACCGTAACTCTGTATTGTTTTCATGAAGAAACAATTGTTTTGTTTTATTAAAATTTGTTTTTAATTTTGACAGCTACCACAGAATGTGATGTCAACATTATAGAGAATTATGAAGATAATCACAATCATATACAGGTTTACATCAGGTTTACATTTTTCTTTTAAATTATATTTGAAGAAAATAAAGAAATACGCTAGAGTCTTAAAAATCAGTTAACAGAATATTATTTTAATGGCTAACAACAATTACATTACATATATATCTATATGTAACCATAAAGTACTGTTCTTGTTTTGTTTTGAAAATATTATATTATATAATTCATACAAAGGGATTGGTAACAAGTTCTTACAACTTAGATAAACCTTTCCCTACTGTTCTAAGGTTGTTCTACAAAGATAGATACTTAATGTACTGATCTTATTTTGACAGATTTCCCAGGATGTGCTGTATAACTGTCTAAATGATGAAGAAAATGAAGATTGATTGCTAATCTACAGGTTTCTGAATAACTTCGAATATACAAGGATAATATTTATTTTAAAGAATTTTCAAAATTAGAACTGCATATCTTTAGATATAAGAAATACATGTATTTAGGAAATTGAGAAAAATAAAATAGTTTGTTGTTAAAGTTGAAACTTAATAATGATTAATATTTGTTCAATCATGGCCTATGAGGACAGAAATAGGATGGAATCACAAAAAAGGGCACCGATGTTAAACACTCAAATTTATTTTATTAGCTCATTCACAGCTTCTCTATTTTGAAGAAGTAGAAAAGTTTGAAAGAAACACGTACACTAAAAATTGAAACCTTCAAATGTTCTGTATGCCATGTTGAAAAGTATAATGAATAATTTATATCATTTACTCATTTTTGACAGGATCCAGATCCAGATGATGTATTTTAAAGTGTAGCTTTGGAAAAGAATTGGTTATCCCCACTATACAGGTTTATATAAGTTTTAGCTTACCTAAGCCGAAGGCTCAAGTGAGTTTTTCGATCAAAATTTGTCCAATATTGTCGTCGTTGTGAGCGACCTTGTCAATTTTTCTCAATTTCATCTTCTTTTCCGAAACCACTGGACAAACTACAATCTGAATCAAACATGGCACAAAGTATCCTTGGGTGAAGGGGAGTTAAGTTAAATTGTAGGGTCACACCATCTCTCCAGGGGAGATAACTACAAAATTACAAATTAGTGAAAAATTAATGGCATCTCTTAATATTTTTCTTCTGAGGAACTACTAAGCCAGGAAAGATAAAACATGTGGAATCATCCTTAGGTAGTGTAGATTTGTTCAAATTATGAACCCTAAGGGAAGGATGGGGCCACAATGGACAAACAAAGGGAAAAAAAATCTTCTCAAGAATAGCAAATCCCTGATGAGTTATGTTTACGTAAATATCCTCTGGTAGGTTAGTTATAAATTTGTTCAAACCATAAAGAGGTTTAAAATTAAAAGTACATTCAAAATAATGCCTAAGATATTCACATGTAGATAAGCAATAGATAATGCGAACTTGTAGATCATACATACATGTAGAAAGTATATTCCATGAACACAGAATTTTTTTCCATTATTAGCTCAGCTGAGTCGAGGGCTCATGTGAGCTTTTCTGATCGCATTCTGTCTGTAGTCTGTAAACTTTTCACATTTTCAATTTCTTCTCAAGAACCAATAGGCCAATTTTAACCAAGCTTGGTACAAAGCATCCTTATGTGATGGGGATTTTAAATTGTTAAAATAAAGGGCCTAGTCCCAAAAATCTCCCAGAAAAGCTGAAAAGGGGCCTCCCATTCTGGTAAAGAACTGCATTACCAAAGTAATCAGGTGAGATATTCAAGAAAAGACAAAAATAGGTTGGGGTCATTAAAAAATCTTCTTCTCAAGAACCACTTGGCTAGAAAAGCTGAAACTTATGTGGAAGCATCCTTGGGTAGTGTAGATTCTAAATTATCAAAATCAAGATGGGGATGGTGGTGGTGGGAGGGGGGGAGGGGGGCACAATAGATATAAGAAGAGGGGAAATCTGGTAAAGAACTGCATCACCAAAGTAATCAATTGAGCGATGTGGCATTTGGGTCTCTTGTTTTTTTTTTTTCATTTGAACTCAAAGTTTTAATAATTTTATGGCTAATCATATCATAATTTTATAGAAATATTCAGGTACTAAAAAATAACTCCTGGTCTACTTTATCACCAATAAAATGGTTAAAAAAGAGCATATATGTATTAATAAATACAAGAAAACTAATGTTTTGAATTTCTTTTGACAGATTTTCATAAGGTGATATGCAGTTGTTAAGAAGAAAGTGAAGAAATCAACTCCTTACAGGTTAGAAAAAAAATCATCTATACCCTACATCCTATATCATAGAATATACTAAATGCACTTTTGATAATAGCTGAAATCAAACAATCATTCCAAAAAAAGCCATCATTTGATTTTTAGGTCTAGTGGATCATTAAGTTGACCTATTGCTATCATTTCTTGTCTTTGTTTGTTATGCCCCATGTGTAAATATTTTTGCAGGGGAGGGGGGAGGGGGTTCCACCCCCAGTCAAAAAAAAAAAATTCTTCACAAGGAAGAAAAAAAAAGAAAATAACAGCTCCTTTCCCAAATCTATGACTTTCCAAGGTCACTTTTAGTTGGTTTAGTACTCTGCAAATTCTAAGTGGATGGACCCCCACCCTGTGGATACACACATGCTCACTGTAGATCATACCTATCTTTAAAGTGTGTGTGGCACATCATCACAAAAATCTACATTTAATACTGCACAACATTGTCACATACAATGTATGGATTGATATTTGAAGGAAATCAAATTTTATTGTGATTAAGATATTTTATATATTTTTATATTTATAATACTGAAATGACATACATGTTTTCATATTACAATCTACATAATCTATGATAATTTTAAAAATCTTTAGTATTTTTATTATGAATGCATGGTATGTTTTAATCTATCAATATTTTCATTTTAGATAAACATCCATTGTGAATACTTGGACCCTGCAATTCACAGAGACAATGAAAGAATTCAGAAGCCAGTGTTAAGGTTTTTATATTTGTGTTAATTTGATTAATTGTGAACAGAGACAAGTTATTGTTCTAGATTTAATTATAAGAAGTATATTAAGGTAAAGATATTGATCTAAAACATCTAATGTTTACAGAGAGACCTGTAACTGATGTCTATAACTGTAGCACAATGTTGTAATTTACAGAGAGATCTCCCTGACTGAGGAAATCCACACGGGAGTCTGTTATACAACATCAGGATAAAGAAATAGATGTCTGCTGTCAATAATGTATAGAGGAGTGTACCAGAAATCTCTCACCCTGTCTGGTGTTAGGCATGGTTATCACATTTCACGTGTGTCTTCAGACCGGGTCTGGATCAGTGATAATAAAGGCAATCTTATACTGACAAACACTAAAGGGGAAGAACTAGATCGCGTGACAAATATAGGTAGTGTTGTATGGGGAGGACACACTGTGGATTCTAATGGTGATCTAATTTATATAGACAGGGAATTAAACATCAGTAAACTGTCTACAGAGGACAGAGTGAAGACTACGATAATAAAGTACAACACAACACCATGGAGACCACAGTGTGTCTACAGCTCCCCCTCCACTGGAGACCTGCTGGTCGGGATGTATAGAGGTGATACAAGGACAGGCCAGGTAGTGCGGTATAACTCCACAGGAGAAAACATCCAGACCGTACAGAACAACAACATCACAGGTCAGGAACTGTATAGAGATCCTATCTATATCACAGAGAACCGTAATGGAGATGTTATTGTGTCTGACATTAGCCGTGTAGTGGTGACAGATCGTGAAGGTAATTACCGATTCTCCTACAGAGGTCCTCCATCAGGATCACGACTAACACCACAAGGAATCTGTACTGACGCGCTGTCACACATCCTGGTGTGTGATCTATACACCCAGTCAGTACAGATGTTAGATAGTGAGGGTCACTATCTGACAGAGATAAAGACATCACAACACGGGATAGACAATCCAATCAGCCTGAGTTATGATGAGGACACACACCTACTGTGGGTAGGGACATGGAACAACAACACAGTCAACATATACAGAGTGGTAGATACAGACTCTCTGACTGGTAAGTAACACTGTAGTCTGTTTTATTGTATTGTATAATTATAATAACAATATTAAATAACTGCATTACAGTAGAGAGGTCATTTAAGACTAACTTTACATGTAGTGTTTATTTACAAATGGTATAGTTTGATCAGAAATGATTGTTCATTGTGTAAACAACAAATATAAGCTGAAGTTGATGACTATAAAGATGACAAACAGATTAAAAAGTAATAATAGATGTACATCTAGTTCGTAATTAATTGTAAGATGCTGTGTGTAACTCTTCAATCACTGATTCATACATGTACATTGAACTCTATATATACACTGAATCTTATGTCAAACTTTTCTGTAATTTTTTTTTCTCAGAAACATCTTGCTGTACATTCATACATCTAGTATATATTTGTTTGATAGACCGGTTTTGAATTATAGATACATGTACCATATACTGTCATTGGAGTAATTTTCAACTTTTGAAATTTTGTGCTGTTTTGTCCGATATTAAAGTAAATTTAGTGTAAACATGGTAACATGATCACTTTTGAGAAATAGCGGATTAAATTTTAACATCTTTTTTTTTTAACAATGTCCTTTATAATGTATTCAGTTTAAGTAAGTCTACATTTAGATCACATGTCAATTTGTACTGATGTTGATAGTTTGATATAGACACCATTGACATTAACACAGCTCTGTCTAGGAATGTTGTGTATTTCTATAGCAGGTGTTCAGTAAATCTACACTGTGTACTGGGTTGACATTTTGTATGAGAAACTTCTAGATGAAATATGGAAATAATTGAACAGTATTCAAACTTAAAGTCCTTAGTAAAGTTTAAGATTCATTTCAACTTTATGAACAAAATTTAAAAAAATGCAAAGAATAAGCCTGAATGTAACTGAGCTGTGTCTTGCTAGTGAAAGGGAGACAATTCAATTTTGTATTTGAAGTTGAAGAAGAAAATCAAGTTACCCCCCTTTTCATATAAATGTAAAAAGAATTCCTGATAAAAACATAACTTAGCCTCCTGCTTTGTTTCAAAAAAGTTGGCCCATAAAACTAAATTATTTTATTATTACTAAAAATATTTCATTATTACTAGAAATAATATTTTTTGATTACTGCCAGTATCAAATGTAAGTGCAAGATATTGTCAATGTGAAGGAGGAAATACTGTACACTGTTACAAGCACTGAAGGTCACTGAAGGTCACTGACAGAGATATGTAGGGTTGATTTTTGTGGTTTTTTGAACTAGGTGTTGATGGTTAGGGGAGGGGGGGGGTAATATATGGCTGTACTACATTTTATTTCAAGTTATATCAATAATTTTACATTATAGCAAAGTTAGATGTCTCGTATGACTTATTTTAATCTATGAGAAAATTGTTGGTTTGTTTTTATTTTTAATAACTTCCACCCACATATATGTATGTATGTCACTGTGTTGTGGTTTTTTTTGTTGGGGGCAGGGGTTGTAAGAGTATGTCTTACTCGGTGAATTTTCAGTGGAGTTATGTTACAAAATCATTCTTTAGGGCTGCATACCACACAGGGGCATATTTTAACTCTAAGCAGTTCTAGAGGTCCTGTGATTTTGGTTAAGATCATCAGTTCTTAGCTAAAGTACATTTTGATGAATAGTGTGTTGATTGTGAATGTTTATCTTTATTTTACCAAATTGCCTTTGCTTCATGAATATTAATAAAGATTCGGAGTATTTACAATATAATTTTTTTTTAATTTCGAACAGGAGTCCCTCTGGAGGACATCAAATGTAAGAAACATCCCAGAATTCCCCTGGACCAGTTCTGTACCCCGTGTGGTGTTCCCTTGTGTGTGGAGTGTACCAGCTCTGAGGATCACAGCAGACATGACCTTAGAAAGATAAAGACATTGTTTGACAACATTCACGAGATAGAAGGTATGAGTTTGAACCTTCTTTAGAAATTTCAATGGAAATTATCATTCTACTTTGATTATCACATAAATATTTATTAACTACAATTTCCTTTAATGATCTGAACTAAATACTAAAGAGATAATTTTCTGATCAAAATTTCTAGGCTGCCTTGTTGCCGGTAGGTTTGTCTTTAACCAAATATTGGGAGGTATATAAATTATAGAATCACCTTGTCTATTTATCCATCTAGCTGTCCATTTAGCAGATATGCCCAGACCAAAACTTCATGATAGGAAAACACTGAAAGTATGTAGGACACAATGATTATGTGTGTTGACCGTATACGTAAGGTCACGTAAGCGAGTTCAAGGCCAGGTGCAACTTTACCGCTAAATTTTTTTCGGGGGGGGCTTTTTCCTTTTACAACTTGATCCAAAAAAAACCAACTGTTAATTTTTTTGTAGCAAAAAAAAAAAAAAAAATAATAATAAATAAAACTTAGTTATGAAAACAGGTAATATATTATAATCACATTTTTTAAAATCATTGAATCTGATCTTAGTGTATCTAAAACATCAACTCTTTGTAACACAAATCACGTAATTATCACGTTTTCCATGTGAGGGGGGGGGGTTAGTCAAAAATCAACCTTTTCTGCTCACATAATAAAATCAAATTACAAGAGAGCAACTTATTTAATCAAATCTTGGGTTAAGGGGACACATTGTTAAAAGAAGTTTTAAAAAATCTTCTTCTCAAGAAATTGGGCCAGTAGTGATTTGGAAACTTGTGTAGTGCCTAAATTTTATCCCCCGGGTGAATTCGGGGCCAGGAAATCAAATATTAGAAATATATAGGAAAAATCTTTGAAAATCTTCTTCTCAAGAACCACTGGGCCAGAAAAGCTGAAACTTATGTGGAAGCATCCTGGTATAGTGTAGATTTAAATATTTAGAAATATATAGGAAAAATCTTTGAAAATCTTCTTCTCAAGAACCACTGGGCCAGAAAAGCTGAAACTTATAAAATTAACATTCTAAATTCAATTTTGAAGGGCGGGGCCACAATGGGAAATCAAAGTTTTATATAGAAATATATAGGAAAATTCAATTTTTCAGAAAAAGTGAAGCTTATGTGGAAGCAATATAACCACATTTATCAGTATTATCCATCTAGCTGTCCATTTACATAGAAATATGCCCAGAAAAACCAAAACTTCATGATAGGAAAACACTGAAAGTATGTACAGGACACAATGATTATGTGTGTTGACCGTTATGTAAGGTCACTTAAGCGAGTTCAAGGCCAGGTGTGGATCTTTAGTATATAAATTTTTTCCCCAGGGGGGTGGGGAGGGGGGTACAGTCAGGGGCACCCTTAAACAAGTTATTTTCAAAAAAAAAAACCCAACCTAGAAATTTCTTGACTTAATAAGCAAAGTTAAAAAAAAATAATAAAATAAAAAGTAAATAAACCCCATAAACTTGCCAAATGTTTAAAAATATCTTGCAGGAAAAGTGTTCAAGGAGGGAAAAGGGGGAATTTTTTTTATTTACATGATTAAAATTGGGCAAAACATCAACTCTTTTAACACAAATTCACATTTACTAGGGGGACTCCATCTAGTATTCTGTATCCCAAAATTTGCAAATGGCAGGAAACACGGGGGGGAAATCAATGTCCAAGGTAAAAAAACTTTTTGAAAAAAATTGTGTGTGTGAAATTGCTTTAGTATATAAATTTTTTTGATAACTTGTTTGCAGATTCCACTGCTGTATCTTACATTTCATGTTATGATTAAGGACCTTCATTAAAAAACTTACACAATTGTTCATGTAATTGAATTTTTGTACAGAGGCTAAAAGATTCGGGTTTTGTACAGAGGCTAAAAGGTTCGGGTTACCTAAACTAATACACATAAAGAAATTAATGTCATCTAGTGGTGAAAATTAATGTCTAAACGCTGTCATTTCTCAATCAACAAGTTGAAAAACAACCTCAATTGTGTTGCATGGGTGACCCTGACCACTCTTTTTTTCAAAAAACATTTGAATCAATGTAAGAAGATCTGTAATCTGTATAATGCAGATATAAATAGGAAACTTACTCAAATTTGTTTTAAATTTTTAGCAGCTGGTGATGTAAATACATTCAGTGTGTATTTCCGATTTTGTACATTATTTTTTATATATTTCTTGTTAATTTTGTAGATTGGAGATACACTATTGATGTGACCCGAATTCTTCGTAAAAATTTCCAGATTTACTTGTCCAATTCCTACAAAATAAACATGAAAGAAGGAAACTGGATGACCAAATATAATGCTGTTGCCAAAAATTTTCATTCCAAGGAAATCACAAAGCCACTTGCTCGTACAGATTTAGAAAACTACAGACCAATTCTGAAACTCAATGAATCAGAGATCAGTTTTTCCAATGAATGCTTCAAAGATATCAGTTTCTTAAAATTATTAAAATTTTCAGAGAAGAGTTTTAAAGTTTATACAATAAACACTGCTGATATTTTCTTGACTTGGGCAGAAAAAGAAAACATCGCCGAATACTGTAGATCCTGGAATTATCGGAGAGGAGAGGATGAAGTTTGCTGTTGGTTGTTGCCAGAAAAAAATGAGGAGCTTTTAGAAAAACTTGGAGAAGATATTTTCATGCACCAAATGATGGAGGACCAGTCATTTAATGAAGCTGTATTCAGAAAACGTAAGTCTATTTTCAGCTCACCTGAACTAGTTACTTTCATAAAATTTAACAAGAGAAGTTTTTGGCTAATGAATAATATGTATATTATTTGTCCGTGATTTCATCTATAACTTAACTTTCAGATCTTTTTATTTTCTTTTAATCCTTTACGTTGATGTCCCAAGTCAAACACGATAAACACTCAGCTCACCTGAGCCATTCATGTTTGAAAAATGGTTAGAGTCCTAGACCTTTTGTCATCTGTAGACTGTACACATTGGATCTCTTTTTTAGAATTTAATTAAACTTAGATGAAAATACTGTTGGGTAATTTGAGAAGTGATACATTTAAGAATTTGCAAAACTTATGCATTTTTTAAAGACAGTTTATATGCAACTATTGATTCATGGTTTAATTAGTCAGAATGCAATGCTTGTCACATTTAAAACTTTGTCAAATAAGTATGCAATTCAGTTTGTGTTACATCAAATTTTAACATGTTATTATGTTGCATGTATTGGCTTATGATCATTGCTAGACAAACAGACCTATGTTTTAAAAAGTATAATGCTGAGTATTGTTTTAACAGTAAAGGTATTCTAAGGCCATATAAAATTGAAATCTTGGTTCTCAAGCCCGTGCGCATCCGTTTTGAGGTAGCCGCATTGCCGATTTTATTGTATTTTGATAAAATAAAAAGTTGGCGTTGCGGAGACCAATCCGGGAAAAAAAATTCCAACCTCATTTGTTTTGTAGTTTAGTATTCAAATATCACTTCCGGTAGCCATTTACAATGAAATTTTGGCTACTTCGTTTGAAAATACATTTGAGGACATTACCTACAATGTTTACACGCTGATAAGCAATGGATAAAGCAGAAATTTTGACCAGAAATGGAAAGTATATCTGTGATTAAAAAAATTATCTTTATGTTAAAGAAAATTCGGAAATTAAAATTAAAAAAATACCTCCCTCATCTACTTTATTGCCTATAAAATGAAAAATAAAATGCCGCCCTCCCGCATCTGTTTTGGAGAAAATTGGCCTGAGAACCAGGGAATTAAATTTAGAAAGCCTAATTTAATCAAGATAAAAATGTTAATCTTTCTTTTCTACTTTTATTTTTAATTGCCATTCTGATAAGGGATAAAAAAATCTCCATGATAGAAGGTTATTTTTATGATTGTTTATAATCATTTGTTTGACTCCGTCACAGCTTTGTAATGCTAGAGTTTTGTCATTATAGTTGGAATACCAATGCAGATTATACTAAGGGGAGACAAATCAGTGACGAATTTCATTGAGAATTTAAAGAAAGGGAAGACAACCATGTATCATGCCTCTGGGATGATAATAGGGTGTGCTGGTAGTGGTAAAACCACATTGTTAGAGAGACTGAAGGGCATTGACCTGGAGAAAATAAAGAAAAAAATCAGGTCAACTAGAGGAGTCGATATCCACACAGATGTGTTTGATGTGAAAGAAAGCATCCAAGGTAGTTTTAGCTCACCTGAGCTGAAGGCTAAAGTGATCTTTTCTGATCACATTTTGTCAATCGTCCGTCTAGCTGTCCATCCATCTGTAAACTTTTAACATTTTCGACTCCTCCCAAGAGCAACTCGGCCAATTTTATCTAAACTTGGTACAAAGCATCCTTGGGTGAAGAGGAATTTCAATTATTAAAATGACAGGCCAAGTTCCCTCACAAAGGGATAATATAATCAAGAAAACACAAAAATAGGGTGGGGTCATTAAAAAATCTTCTCAAGAACCACAGGGCAAGAAAAGCTGAAACCTATGTCGAAGCACCACCTCCGCCCTCTGCCCTTACTTGTCTGCTTAGAAAGTAGGATGTGTAAGAGCGTTGAGGTGTCCTCCTATCCATCCTACCATCTGTCCGTTTATTATGTTTTGGGTTATTACTCATATTACTCTTATTACTCTTCATTACCATTAACCACTGAATAAAAATTGTTACTACTTAATAAAATGCATGAAATTTTCACAGAATCTTTGTTAATATATAGAGAAATTTTAAATTTTCTGTTTTTCTCTGTATGGACACGTTTCTGGTTTCCTAATGCAAAATATAGACACTACCGTTATATTGGTGGTACCCATCTCAAATTTGCAACTCAACCTGTACAACTTAATAAAGTTAAATGACACTTTCACATAATATTTACTACATACTGTCATTCCGTACTGCATTCTTGATGTTAAGATTGGACAGATATTTGGTTTTTCAATAGTAAAACAAAGACTTTAACATCATACTCATATGGAAGCTGCCTGGGTATATCATTTTGTGAGCTCGATACTCTCAGTACCTTGAGATTTTAATTCGTGACTTGCGGATTTATATAACGTAGAATAAAAGTATATTTTCATAAAGTACAGGGACAACAAAGGGAGACAGTGTTAAATTTGTATTCATTTTTATTTACAGCAAATTCTTCACGCCAACAGCAACACTTTAAACTTCGACTTGATAAAAAAGATATGAATCAGAGTGTTCCTGAATCTCATTCAGAAAATGCAGCCGATGATGAGGAAACGCAGGAAAAGATGAAACCAGTTGAAGAAGATGGCAGTACGACTGAAGCATCA